ATAAAATAAAAAAATTAAAAAATCTAAGTAACCGATATGATTGTATATGATTTTCTGAAATTAGAAAAAATTTTGTTGTAAATTTAAAAATTAAAAAAGCAATTTTGGAACGTATTTAGTGTGCGTGGTTGCAAAATATTTTACTTTTAATTAAATTCGTAAAATCTATTTACTAGGGCTTTAAAAAAATTGAAATACACAATATGACGCACACCAAGTACGTTTCAAAATTTTTTTTTTAATTTTTAAATTTACAACAAATTTTTTTTAATTTCCGAAAATCATAAACAATCATATCGGTTACTTGGGTTTTTTAATTTTTTTATTTTATATCTTTTTGTAAAGAAAAAAACTAATTTTTTTTTTTTAATAGTCTTATGAACGTGGACTTGGCGCGATTTTTTTACAGTGAAACTGTTTTTGTTCGGATTATGATTATCCAAATATATTATAAAATCAATTTTTATATAATATTTATGATAAACTCATATGATACATTAAGTAGATCATAGAATCATTATTGTCTAAGACAGCAGCACAGCAGACAGAAACTTCAAGACGCACGGAGATCACCAAAGTTAAGCAGCATTAAGTAGGGTTAATAGTTGGATGGGTGACCGCTGGTGTTATAGCCATAAAATTAGATCTAGATATTTTTTTGCCTTTTGATCAGTTACACAGAATTGCGTAGGACCATATTAAATACTCTATCCATAAAATTAACCCAATAATTAATTAGATGTAATAAATCTATAATTAAATATTGTTATATATAATTATATTTAGTTATATATAATTATATATAATTAGATATGATTATATTTGGCCATTTTTCATATATAATCATATATAACCAATTTATATATAAATATATATAATTATATATAAATATTTTTTCTCGGGCTGATAGAAAATTTATGTTGACTCAAGAGATATTTTCTTGATCTAAGAATTTATTTTGGAAGACAAATGATTATTTTGCTTTAAGAATTTCTTGTCTTGATTTAGATTTTCTTGGCTTAAGAGCTATATTATCTTCAATCGATACATTTAAGTTTTTCAATCAAAATAACATTATCGTTTAAAAAACTTAAAATAATTCATCAAAGTATATTTCAAAAACTGAATAGTCTTTAATTTTTATACCAAAAAAAAATTATTTCTTGGAAATAAGTAAATTAATTAATGACTCAAAAAAAGCCATTCTTAACACAAGTCGGTAACATCTTGAATCAATGTTATCGCCTAATCTTGAACCAAGAGACAAAAATTCTTGAAAGAAATATATCTATATCTAGTTTCAAGAGTTCAAGTTTTGAAGAAAAAAAGTTTCTTGAATCAAGATTGTTTTTCTATCAGTGTATGTATACGAACTTACATTTGTAAGATTTTAGATAGCTGTCATTTTTTGGCCCAATTAAACATAATAAAAGAGAATATGACCTAATTTTTTTATGATTACAATATAAGACTGCATGGCTACAAAAGCTATATTTCTAAAGAAATTTATCTATAAATGTAAGTGAGCTACAACGGTGCCGAAGGATCAGGAAGCACAAGTAAGAACTAATAGCGAACTGATATTAAGACTTGAATTACAGAAAAAACATATTTCATAAGTTATTCTTGATTTTGATTGAATTTGAGGGCTGGAATTGTATGAAATTCAAGTCTACGAAGAATTTATAAAATTTTATGGGACCTCATAAAATTTGAGGAAAATCATAAAATTTTTCAAAAGTTCTTATAAAATACTTGCTAGTAATTCCTGTGGTACTGAATAAACATTTTATGGATTTATTACACATTATGAAATTATTTATGTGAAATATAATTTGATAAAAGTATATAAAATTACAACCAGGAACGAAAAATAGTAATTTTTTAAATTTCACAAAATTACATGAAACTTAGGAAAGTTTCAGATATTTTATGCAATCGTTTTTTCTATTTTAATATTATAATTACGGAAATTTCATAAAAATTTATCAAATTCCACAATATCGAAAAGGGTGATGACAAACTTCTTGATGTTAGTATAAAGAACTTAAATTTTTAAAATTTTTGGCTCTCGATAAAACATTTCTCCCAGACTAAATATAAAGTAGTGTATCTTATAATTGACGAATATATCATATATAGAGAATACCAAATATTTTGTTTATTCAAAAAAAACAAGAACATGATCAGGCATGATCATGTTTGATAACAGGTATGAAATAATATGACCATGCATGATCAGGCCTGAATGTATTTAACTCTTCAGGCATGATCATGTCCGTTCATGCTTAGTCAGGCATGACTATGCATGAAGTATATAACGCCTCAAATATGATCGTGTATTACCAGGCCTGAACGAACTTTACTATAATTCAGGTATGATCATGCATACACAGATCTGATCATACATGAACAGGCATGATCGTGTCTGATCACTCAAAACGGCGCTAACACTATGCGTATATACTGATATGACACTAATAATTAAATAGTATTAGTATTTTTTATACATCCGACTAATACACATATTCAACAATGCATTAGTCGAGGGTCTCCTAAATAAACCAAGTATTTGTTGATTTTCATCAAAACTAATTTTGTTATTGAGTTTAACCAGTACGTACATCCGTCAATAATAAGAGATAAATATGTTTTCTATCTTCATCAAATTCTCTTTAATGACACAGCAAATTTCTTTATTTATTCTACACTACAATGTATACTTAATTCCTCATATTTGTATATATTTACACTTTCATCCTTTCTTCTTCCTTTGTATTGCTGTTTAAGTCACCGCACTCTCTCCTTGGTCACTAGTCTGATTCATTTGTCTATGTACTTGTATGTGATTCGTCAACATATTGAATGATATAACACCTCCACAGCTTACTGTAGATCTGCTCACAGCTCACATTCATTGCAGCGCGAAGCCTCGCTCCGTTCGCACGTTGCCGGCAATATTAATTTGTGTTTCTACGCGCTTCTTTTGTGTTGTAAGTATTGCGTCACTGTAATAAGAATGTCGCTTTTTACCGCGAATTTCACCGTGTTTTCTTTGAAAATTGCGCAATCTTATTAATAATTTTTCAACATCATTTTTATACTTATTGAAATTCGTGTTATTTTTTGATAAAACTTTTTTTAATAATAATAAAAATAGTTTAACTGTTAGAATGTGTGTAGTTGTTTATTTGCAATGTGCCTTTACCTCGTGCTCGTTCAATATTTGTCTTAACAAATTATAATCTCTGATGATTTAAATAATAATATTTTTTTTTTTTTTTTTTTTTTTTTTTTTTTTTTTTATAGTAAAAATAATTATATTACTTAAATTAATGTTTAATTTGTAAATTTATATTTTAATTACTTGTGAATCATTGATATTATTAATATCTGTAGGAACAGGAAAAAAATGGCGTCCATTTTGGTTTGACCTTGATTTGGGTTTTATGTTCTAAAATCTAAAATAAACATAAAACCTACCCATTTTGTAAAATGAAATTAAATACGTACCAAATATCAATATTATTACTAAAATTAAATATTAAAATGAAATCAATGAAAAATCAATAAAATTTAATTAAATTAACGCAAAATTGAAGTGAAATTATCAAACTCATATTTTTTATCTCTTACGCGTGAAATTTTTTTTCACAATAATTTATTTGAAACTAAATTGTCAACTGAACATGAATTTTAATATCATGCGTTGTTATTTATTTTATTTTTACCAGATAAAAAAATAAAATTTTTTTTTGTCTGAACATTAATTAAAATATATTTCCAGATTAAATAAATAAAATTCCAAGATGAAGCCCGACAATTTGGGATTTACAGAGGACCGGAGGCCAATGGAGACGATGTCGGAAACATCTGAAGCAACTACCACCACAGCAGCTTCCGAGTACCAAGGGTTCGACTACAACGAGGACATTACAGTTTTGGCTCGTCAATTAGGTATCGACAACCTTGAAGATCTGAAACGCGATCGCTTTCGCGTTAATCGTCGCCGACTCGAACAAATACTGACAGGTATGTACAAGTACAGAGTATTCTACCTTAAACTCTACTATTTTATTGTTGGTTGTGTGAGTGTCATGAGCTATTATTAGAATTTTGTGTCGATGTTGATATTTATATTTAGTTTCGTTCATTCATTATTATTCATTTACAGGGGAAGATGAATCTTTGGAGCGGGCCGATGTGTTCTTTGAAAAGGTATGAAAAGTAATCCCTCTTTATTTATTGTCATACCTGGGAACAAATGAGATTACACTTTGTAACCGTATAATTATAATTAGATACGGGATAAGTATTGATTTTCGGATTTTGTGGTTGACAGTCAATTACACACAAGAAAAAGATTATTTATCTAATTAAGAGAATAAGGAAAATTTCGTCTTTAGCGTATTTATATGATAAAATAAGTTTTTTTAATTAAATTTAGTATCATTGAAAAAATCTTGATCTGAATTTGGACCTTTTAAATATTTCATATGCTTTTCAGCAATAGTTAATTTATTATTATTTATATTTATTTAAATAGATTCAAATTTCGCGATAAACGTAATTTGTTTATTTATTTGTTTTGTTTTGTACATGTGAATGTGATTATATGGAAAAAATGAATTCATATACTTAATTGAGAGACTAAGAAACATTTTGTAACGGGTAGATCACAAATTCAGTTTGATATTTTTTTAGCGATAGTTATTTATGATTTAAATAATTGAGAGAGTAAAGAATATTTGAAACAAGCTTATTATTACCTCAAAAGAAATTTTTATTAAATTTGGGATCATCAGAAAGGTCTTAACGAGAATTTGTACCTTTTCACAGTTTTGTTTTTTAATGACAGTCAATTTTTTATCTTTAGCTTTTGGAGCAGTTTTTTGGTTCTATAAGATTTGTTCCGTTATATTTTCAATGATTTATTTGTAATTGATCCTGTCATAGCACTTTTATTTTTCAAATTTATTTAAAAAGTACCCAAACCATGTATAGTGTGATTAGAAATATCAAAATATCATTAAACTAAAGTTTTCTTATTCATAATTCGTAAATCTCGATAGTCACATACTGCAGGTTGCTTGTGAGAATTAATATAATTATTATTTAATTTTTTAATCATACAAATACATATATACATATACATATATATGAATCATAATAAAATAATTATAATTAAGATTTTTTACTCAATTTGAGTAGGTTCAGATGAACAATAATTCGCGTTATTATTATTATTATTATTTTAATTTATATTATTTTTATTTAGTTAAAATTAAAAAACAAATGTTTATCAATAATATTCACTATTTAACGATTCTATTGTGTGAAACAAATTATTTTAATTTTTCTTTTGATTTTTTTTTTTTTTGATTCAGTAGAAAGCGTAATTTTAATTTTATTTTGACGGTTTTAATTTTCATAGACTCTCATAAGAATTGAGTATCTAGATAAACAATTATATTTTTTTCATCATCAAATAAAACACAACTAAATTGATTGAAGCTTTACGCTCTATTCTTTAAATTTGAAATTTCAATAAATAATTGAACGTTTTAATATGTTTTTTCAAATCAATTATTTTTTCAATAAATATAAGAAATAGAATAATTTAATTTATTTATAAAACTATGATAACATAAAGTAAAAGTAAAGAATAAGTTTAGACTAAAATATGAATTGAATGCTTTTATTTTATCGAGCTCAATAAAATTAACGTAACGAAAACGTGCAATAAATCATTAACTATCAGTAAAAAAAAAAAATAATAATAATAATAATAATAAATTCAGAGACAACAGTCTTGTAAATTGATTATAGATTATAATAAATATAAAAAAATATAGTATGAGAGACAGGAAAGATAAGTTCGAGTAAAAAGACTTGGAGGGGAATTATTGAGTGGGAGATCGACCTAGCTCGCGACCAAGTGCCCGTTACATTATCTTGAATTAGTCAGTCAGTCAGTAAGTCAGTCTGTCTCGCGAGTTGCGAGCAAAATCATCGCGAGTTAGTGTACATGGCTAGCAATATCTAAAACCTGTTGATTTTATTCAGTAAAATAGAAATAACAATAACAATAGTTTCATGAAATAAATAGTTAAAAATATTTTTACAAGGCAAGTTGATCTTGTCCATTAATAACAAAAACTTAATTAAATTTCAGTGCAATTAAATGCATTTATTATTGATGGAAATTGAGATGACACGAATATGGTGAAAGTGATAAATAGATCCCTCTAGTCTGGGTTCCACCGGTTTCTGTCAACACATTGATAACTTGTGCAAGAGAAGTGACATTTATCAATGCTAAAAAAATGCTAATATACATTAATCTTCAAATTATTATAGAATTATTTGAATAAAACAATATATATATATTTATATATATTTTTTTTAGTTCATCGTAACGGGAAGCTAACGAGCATAGCTTCAAGATGACTGTGGTAATATTTTTAAAGATATTTATTTGCAAATTTTTTATCTTTGACAACTTTGCACATTTCAGCTTAGCTCTACTTAATTAAGACTGACGTTTGCTATTAATTTTTATAAATTTAACCCCGCTTATAGTTCAACAATATTAACAGTGATCATGCTTTGTAGCACTCGGAAATATTTATATTTAACAGTAAGTTTAATAACAAATTATAATTACAGATTATGGAACAAACAAGTACGATGATTTCTTGGCCAGCGAGATTGAAAATCGGTGCAAAGTCAAAGAAAGGTATTTCTATTATTCTTATATATTATTTTAATAGTTTGACTATATATCAATAAAATTAACTATCAATATTAATTGATATAAGTCACGCGGTAGTTAGTATCACATTCGTGTCACAAGTTACGTCAATTTACAATCTTACGTGACTGACGTATCGTTTTTAACGTAATAATACAATTAATTATCTACCATTTGATTTTCTTAGTTTTGTTCATTTGAATCGCTACAAGGTTATATGTTTTTTATAAATATATACTCGTAATCTCAATTTACTTAGAAAAAACATTTATCGTTGTAGTTATTGTTGATATTATTATTATTATTAATATAATAAAGTATACTAGGTGTCGCAAGACTAGGTGAAAACATTGAACTAAGCTATGGAAATTTTTTGGTGATTCATTCCTTTTACTCCGGACCTATCTCAAATAATTAATTATCAGTAACATTAATGTACACATGTATATCATTATGATGACTGTTAGTTATTAATGATTGTGTTAGTTATTAATTTATGATTATTTTTATAAAAAAGTAATCAAGTTTTGTTTAAGTGTGAGCCATTAAAATATTTTATTTTAGAAGCGTAATTGTGTAAATTTCCATAGCTTGTTCTTTCTCGTTGGTCCTCATTGTTCTAACTTCTATTCAGGTTTCATCACACTTATTTCGCTTAGCTTGCACACTTAGAAACCCAAAGTCGCAATCGTCCTCGTATATGGCCGCGACCTTGTGGTAATTTCCACGCACTCGACCCTCCTTTTTCATATCGATACGATAATCATTTGCGTTAAATAATATTCCGATGATTGACGGAAATTTTGAAACTTTTATGTTCAATTATGTTATTATCATCATATTGTATATAATTTAAATTATAATTTATTGTAGACTAATAAATAAATGCATGTCGAAATTATTTATTGTTCATTGTGTAATGAATTGCTTTTTACGGTTATTTTTAGATCCACACATAAAGGTCGTTGGTCGTCAAGAGGATGTACAGGCTGCCAAAGAGAAGATCATGCAGATCCTGGACACACGCGTAAGTTTAGTTATTAAATTTATTTTTACAATTACTGCATTCGATAGACGATTAATTTTAAATGCAAGTAGAGTGTTGGAAATATTTTATGTTGAAGAAATTTTAAATTAGTTGATAAAGTGTCTTCGATTAAAATTAACATACATATGTATCGACATACAACTCAATTAACTTAATAATTTTTAAATAATTATCAATTAATAGAATTAATAAATCATTAATTGATTATCAATCATCAATATAAGAAAATAAATTTATTGATTCATTTATTTTTAATATTTTTTAAAAATAATTCATGAATAAATATTTTATTATGATTATCATCATTATTATTATTATAATAATAAAAAGTAAGATAATTACTAGAATTGTATTTCAATTCACATTATTTTTTTTAATCTTGAAAAAAAAAAAAGTTAATATAATGAATTTGGATGACAATATGGAATATATTTTTTACACTCCATAAATGTAAGTATATGAACAAATTGCTGGGAAAAATATAACTCAGTACAATTAGAATAAACTTTTATTATGTAGAATACAATTACAATTAGATAAAAATATGATCATAAAATTTACTGATAATAATATTCATAATTTTTTTGAATAATAATAATACATTATTTTTTAATTAATTGAATAATTGTTGAGTAATAATAAAAAATGGAATGTAAAAATAATAATAATGTAACTTATAAGCGCGTATGGTTCAGTTTTTTGTATGAATAATATAATACAAATATGTAATATACAAATAATGATAAAATGATTGACCTCTAAAAGTAATTTCGGAAGCTTACCATAGCCGTGAAACATTTTATTTAAGCTGAAGTTACTCTATATTATTAAGAAGCTAATAATTAGCAGTTTGAATTGTATCAATTAAAAAACAATTACGTATTGCATCAGCTTTGATGGAAATTAACCAACAAATCATTTTTTTACTTATTGCAGCAAGCATTGCGAGTGACGATGAAGCTTGACGTTAGCTACACAGATCATTCACACATAATTGGAAAAGGTGGATTAACAATAAAGCGCGTAATGGAAGAGACCGGTTGTCACATACACTTTCCTGATAGCAATCGCAGTAATCATCAAGAAAAAAGTAATCAAGTTTCTATTGCAGGAGACATGGAAGGTGTTGAAAAAGCTCGTGCTCGAATTAGAGTAAATACGTTATTTCATTTTTATTTTTTTTTATAGATAACACATTTGCTTGATAATTAAAATTTTTATATTTTACAGAATCTTACTCCATTGATTTTTTCCTTCGAGCTACCGATAATGGGATCAATGCAAGCTGTTCCTGACTCAACCAGTCCATGCATTGTTAAAATTCAAGAGCAGTTTAATGTACAAGTGATGTTTCGCACTCGTCCTAAATTACACGCTACTCTCGTGGTGGTTAAAGGTTGCGAATGGGAGGTACATCAAGTCAAGGAGGCTACTACCCGACTAATAGGGTACTTGTGCAAAAATTTAGCGGTAAGCGAACCATAATCATCTGCATAAATTTAATTACTTAATTAAATAATATACGCCTATTTAGCAAATAATATAAACATTTGAGCAATTTTTTTAAATTGAAATTTATTCTAAAATTTGTAGATTTTTTTACAATAACTTTAAATTCTTGAAATTTTTCAAAAAAATGTTTTTTCCATTTAATTTTTTGTTTATAAAAAAATAGATGTTTATATAAAAATAAGTATCTCAATTCTTTTTACTTATATTTACTTGTTGTACTTACTAAGATTTAAAAATTGTATTACACGATTAAGAAATTAATACACAAAAAATAGATGTGTAAGTAAAAATAAATATCTAAATTCATTTGAATCATAATTTACTTAATAAGATTTAAAAATTCTATTACCACTATAACATTAATACACAAAATAAAAATAGATGTCTATATAAAAATTGATGTATACATACTTTTTACTTTTATTTTCTTCTTAAGATTTAAAAATTTTATTACGATTATTTAATATTTTAATAAAATATTTCATATTTTTTTTACTTGAACACAACCTTGACACCAAGTGTTAAAATCGATATAAAAAAATAATAACCGTTAAAAAACATTTTATAAGCAGTTACATATGTTTAAACACAACTTTTACTTGCACAGGGTCAAGATCCATCATAAAAAATAATTTGTTTAGTACTAATTCAATTCAAAATTCATTTCCTTATTATTCTTTTATCAAATAAAATCGTAATTATGTTTTCAATGACGATGTATCTCGTAAGAATAAGTATTTATTGCTTAATAAATTTGTTTTCAGAGTCAAATATCTGTTCAAATGTCGATGGAAATCTCTCCGCAGCATCATAGCGTGGTTTTAGGTAAACAGAGCAATAACTTGAAGTTGATTATGCAGCGCACCTCTACACAGATCATGTTCCCGGATGCTGGAGACCCAAATATCCCCAGTCTCAAAAAGAGTAACGTCATAATTACCGGTGGGATTAATAATGTCTACTTGGCACGTCAGCATCTTATAGGTTCACTGCCGCTAGTTGTAATGTTTGACTTTCCGGAAGATGCAACGCCGACCTTCGACTCCGAAACCATTTCACAACTCATGCAAACTCAAGATGTCTTTATCAGCGTTCGAAACAAGCCAAAAGTCAGTGCTATTTCAATCGTAATAAAAGGCGTTGAAAAGAATGCAACCAGAATTTATGAAGCCCGAAGACAAATTCTTAATTTAAAAGAGCCAAGACTTCATGCGATGACCCCTGACACTTATAACATTCCCAACGCTTCAAATCTTTTTCTTGGTAATACTGCTAGCATTGTGTCCACTAATATGCGTGCCCGAACGGAAAGTTCTGCAGGTAATAAACTATTTTATTATAGATAATTTCCAAAAACTACATTGATAGAAGGATTTATTAGTATTTAATAAAATTTCACAACATTAGATCATCAGTAGTTAATAAATATTTGTTCAGACTTGATTAAAAAGTGAATATAAAAATTCCACTTTGGCACTTTTTATAATTCCATAACTTCAATAGAAAATTCCATTAGATCAGGTTCATTAATAATTTTCTGATAACAAGATAAAGATAAAATAAAATTAATGATAAAAAAATAGTTGTAATATAAGTGACTGAATTTTTTTTTTTTTTTGCGATAAAAATGATTGGTGTATCGTAACTTAATTGTAAAAGGTTATGCCGTTATTTATTTATAAATAATCTTCACACCGTAAACAAGACATAAGGTAAAAGACCCCATTAGTGGCACCTTTAACCCCTATTAGTGGCACTTTTTCTTTCAATGAAAAAATGTTCTACTTGGAATAAAAATTAAAAATTTTTTTGATCTAAAGGTCTTAAAGATTAGAAATAATATATTCATTATTGAAATTAGTGATTTCGTTAATTGAATAAGTACCAAAATCAAAGAAAATGTCAGTAATGGAGTCCCCGCCACTAATGAGGTCTTTTACCCTACTTCAAAAAAATTTTTTAACTATTAATGTACTATAATTTAAAAAAATATTTATGTAGTTTATTCAATTTTAAATAATTAATAGTCAAATTTTCAGACATAACACCAATGAGTTCGCAAAGCACTTCTCCATACAGCATGTCACCGTTGTCATTATCTCCAACATCGATGGGTTCATTTAATTTATCTTCAAACTGGAGTGGATCGGCTGGTTCGGTTTACTCTTCGTATGGAATAAATCATCCAAATGTTCAGCTTTTGACAGCTACTCGTCAAGCGATGCAGAGTAATCTTTTGGCTCCAGCTGCTATCAACCAGCACCAAAGTGTCAACCAACATCGCCATAGCCAGTCCCTTCTTGGTGACTACTTTTCATACAGCAGCGCTTCAAGCACTTTAACAAGTCCATCAGCCAGCCCACGTAATGTCTCTCCATCTCCGATTGGATTCTCAGACTCAAGTATGGACATCTCTGGAGTCTTTTCTGACTTCGGAATTAATGAGCTACCTAACGAGCGAACATCGAGCCGTCAATTTACAGCGTTCGACTACGAGCAGAAGAAAATTATGGCGTTTAAAGCGATGCAAAACGTCCCCAAGTCAACGGAGTACAGAGTACCAACTCCAACGTGGTCCGGTTATGGACTAAGCCAGACAATGCCTCCAGCTACCGTGACATCTTTAGACTATTCGGTGAGCTCTAAACCGAAGGAGACTTCGGAGCTCTGGGACGGTCCTAAAACACCGTTAGCCTTCATCTCAAGTGTAGATTCTACTCAAGATAAGGGCATGCTTGGTATTTCTTCGTACCTCGATCATACACCTCAGTCACGACTTCAGAAAGTGCTTGAGGAACCCCACACCGATATGGCTAGTATGCTGACCGGTATTGGGATGGAGAAGTACATACGTAAGTCATTTTTTATTATTTTTATTTTAATTATTAGTTACAACATCACTGTTTTAAGTTACTATGTTGGTCGCATAATTGAAAAAAAATTTAATTGATCATTTTTTGAGGTTTTTCTTTTTTTAATAATAAAGAACAAAATTAAAATTTTAATTTACTTGCTCTAATTTTGTATAGAACAAAATATCTGTGACCACTATGGCAATGTAACAATTATCAATGTAACACTGCTTCAAGCGCATAATTCATTATATTAACTATTTTAATTCATCTCAATAAATAACAACTACTCATAATTTCATTGCTTTTGTTTAAAAACACAGGTTTATTAGTGGCTAACGAAATAGACATGCTGACGTTCCGCTTGTTAACTGACAAAGATTTATGCGAGATTGGTATCAAAGCTTGGGGTGCTAGACGTAGAATTTTACTTCTCATTGCCGGTATGTACTGCTTTACTGACCTAAAAACCCATTCTCATAATTACAGCACTTAAAATAAAATAAAATAAAATAATAATATCATATATAGTATGACACTAAAAAAAAAATAATATGACAATGACTATTATAATAAGAATATTATAATTATTTCAGAGTTGAACAAAAGGTCGATGCCGTACTCGGGAAGCGTAGCACCTGGAGCTGAGCGTAAATCTTCTCTTCCGAGCGCATCATCGAGCTCTGGAATATCGAGTACCACTACTACCGTCGAGGGCAAGTGGTAATGATGATACCGAGTAAATTCCTATTTCTACTCTAAGTCAAAAATCGTAATAGTTGAGGTAGAAAATGTTTATCAGTGCTACTATCATATACAAAAATATTACGAGAGGATATATGATAGTAGCTGATTTGACTGCGGGATATATATTTATTAAAATTACACGTTGCATTCAATATTTTAAAGGCCTCAAGGAAAAGGCCAGAGTTTATGTTTGTGTACCGGAACAACTTGATTACGTATATTAATTTTTTTTCATACATATTTTCTTTTCTTTCTCTTTATTTATTTATTTTTTTTTTTTTCTTATTTTAAATTTGAGTTCAAACGATCTCTTTCAAGCCAGTACACAAATTTGTTATTGCTAATATTATTTATAGATATATAGAGTTAGATATAATCATCATCATTATCAAAATCGTGATCAATCAATTTTTTTTATATATATTCATATTGCATTATATTTATTAAATCTTAACCTACGAGCTTAGCATGAAAATTGATTTTCAATCTATTTATTATTGTTAATTATACCAGATGCTCAAAATTAATATGAGTTAAAAACTTTATCGGTATAAATATCGTGTATATACTGTATATTAATGTAAATGATAAGCGATAGGATTATAAATTCTGATCGTACAAAATCATCCGTGATGATTACAAGATAATAATCCGCAATTTTTACCTGCTAAGCGCGTACATAAATTTTTTCACGTATTCGTGAATCGATCAATTATATAGCCAAGTTCCACATCCTTAAATTATGAATATAAGCAATCGAGTTTGTTAATTATAATGAATTTTCTTTACTACGTCTAAATACATGCATCGTCTTCTAAAAAGATGATTATTCTTATTCGACTGAGCTTGAAAATTCATTATGTAAAAGTTACTTTATATTTACATCTTATTAATGTAACATAATATATTAATATAATATTTGAACTCCAAGCTTCGAATTAGAAAAATGAACATTGAAATTTTCAAGCTTTACTTAGTTAAACAATAGCTTATGTATTATTATTATCATTATTATTATTATTATTACTATTAATCATTTATTCCTTTTTAGAAGACGACATATGTATTTACGTAGTGAAATCAATTATTTGCATGCCGGTGATTGAATATCACACGATTAATTGAATTGATAAATTGTGCATTGAAAACTTTGAAATGATGAAAAAATTTCCCTTATTGTATGATAATTATCAGTTCAATGTATTAAAAATTAATAGTTTATTAATTTATCTCTCTTTTAATATCAAATGAGTGAAGAAGGGAAATATGCTTTTAATTGAGCCACTGCACTCGCAAACAATTATAATTAAATCAAAAAATATTTTAAATACTAATTTATTTACTTAATTTTTTTTTTTTTTTTTTTTTTTTTCTTCACTTCAATGCGTTAGGCAATGAGCTTTGCTCACAAACGCTCTTATAATTGACTATAAAATACTATGAATCTTCTCTTTTTTTACCACTAATAGTTTTTTGACTAAACATAGAGTTTTAAAAGCAAGTAATTGAAATATTTGTTAATTAATACATAATTTATTAAAAACAGTATCGTGATATAATTTTTTTTTTTGCAAGTACAAGTAATCTTCGAATTATTATAACGACTTTTGATCTTAACGACATTAAAAAAAAACTTGTGTTCGTTTAAATAATTAGTCCTCGTTACAATAATTGTTTTTCTAAACCGCTTGTACCATTCACTCATATTTAAATATCATGATAAAAACAATTTTTTTTTCCCCTAAAAATATTTTTTTCTTTTTGCATGTTTTATTAACTGAGAGCAAAGTCTAAATTTTGTAAAAGAATAGGCTTTATTATTTATCCAATAATAAATGATGATATAAAAAATGTATATGTGATAAAATGATCAAGTAGCAATTAATGTAATTTTGAAAACTACTTAATTCAATTCAATCTGATTCATCTAGCTCTTGATCATTTCAAAGATATAAACAATCGAGAAATATATTGTTAATGTTATTGGTAATAAAATGTAGCATGTGGAAATTTGTTAAAGATTTTGATATTATTATTATTTTGATACAAGTAAAAAATTTATTTAAAATTAATAATATTGAATATTTATTCCTATTAAATAACTATTATAAATACTAAAGCTATATATGGTTATGAAGCAACAAAATATATACATATGATATAACGCGCCATGTCAACAGAATTGCGCTCACAGTTCTTAACCGATCTTTACGAAATTTTGGGAATTACTCTTATCTATGAATCAATACCGAGATCAAGTTCAACGATGAGCCAAATCGGCGGTTGGTTAACCAGTTGTGGATGTTTAAATATTTTTTTCATTTTCGACAAATTTCGAATTTCGTTAATTTTATCAAAATAGTTTGCATAATTTTGTTTAATTTGAGCTATCATTCATTCACTTCTGATAATTTTTTCAATTTATTTTGTGTCTAGGAAAATTAAAAAAAATTAATCAATAAATATGTTTTGGGCCTTTATCTTCAAACAATTTTTCAGTAGTGAAAAATAGCTCACGCCTGTTGAATTTATCTTAAAGTTTACACAATGGTTGTCAGTTTGAGCTATTATTCGTCTATGGTATTTTCAAATCAGTTCGTAATTTTTAAAATTTTGAAAAAAAATTTTCTCAATATCCATTCAAGAAATCTATCATTCTATCTCGAGTGTGGCCAAATTACGGTTTTGATATTGTATAAAATTAATGAACTATTACTAACTGTTTTCATTTCATTTTGTATAATTCATATTTTTATATACTACATTCCATTTAGTTCTTGTTCATAATAAAAGAAATAATATCCTACTGATTTTAAATCTGTAAAATCTAAATTTTGAGAATATTTTTTAACTTCTCGCTAAGAAAATTGAACATTTTCAAAAGTCGGAAAGTTATTGGTTTTACCCCGTTTTTCGAAAGTCGAGTTCCCATCAGATCTCGACGTTTTGAGGTCCTAGGAAGCTTCCCTGAATGTTTTCGCGATGATGTCAGTGTGTGTGTGTGTGTGTGTGTGTGTGTGTGTGTGTGTGTGTGTGTATGTATGTAACCCTTTTATAACGGCTTTTATAACGGCACTTTGAACCGATTCGGACCGGTAGATTTTGAGAAACCTAAAAAAAAAAACTACAAAAAAAAATTTTTTCAAATGTGGTTTTTTTGGAATAAGTTTCAAATGGCTTTACCGATCGATTTCAAAAACTAATCAGCTCTTAACATCAAAAAACCACGTCGATCGCCGCCAGTCCGGTCAAAATCGGTTGATTCGTTCGTGAGTTATCGTTGACGAAAGAAAACCGAAAAAAGTGTTTTTTCGGAATTACTCCGAAGTTTTTCGCTCTATCAATATAAACTCAAAAATTTTTCGTGAAGCTTAAAAAACTGCGTTGAATGCCACCAACCGCGTGAAAATCAGTTCATTCATTAAAAAGTTATGGCGATGTGAAAATTCAAAAAATAGTGTTTTATCAAATTTCGATCAAACTTTTGAGCTCGAAGAGCTCAAAAGCATACAAAAGCGATTTTTTGAGCTCGTAGAGCTCAAAATAATACACAAATTGTATTTATGAGCTCGAAGAGCTCTAAAACGTCATAAGTGCAATTTCAAGCGTTTAAGTATAGAATTGGCGGGAAATTGCAGGGATGGCCTTCAGGGTCAACAGTTTTCCTAATTTTTTTTATATTAACGCCCCCGTAATTTTTTGTAGGGGTGGAATTTCGCAAAATTTATGTCTAGATGATGAAGATGAGAAAAAAATTGTTCTTATCAAACTTTATGTCTGTAGGAATTGTATTTCAAAAATATGCATTTTTTACAAATAACATCCCAACTCCTTTTTGAAAGAGGAATTTCGTAAAATCCTGTCCTCGATGATTTCTACGTTACAAGTAATAGATTCCTAGCAAATTTACAATTTTTCATTGTTAACACTTACCCCTGCAATCCCGTTTGGAGCTTAACTGTCATAAAATCCGTTGTTAGATCATTTCTACATCATATATAGAATATTCCTACACAATTTGGAGTCAATAGGAACTATAGTTTAAAAAACAATTATGGTTTTTGAGTTTAAAAATTTTTTTCCTATAGGAATATATATTAAAAACTATGACATTTTACATCTCAAATTTTTCCAGAGCGGTGTTCTTTCGACTCTTATTGTTTTATTTCTTAAATTGATGAAAAAATTTCGTACAGGCTGATTCGATAGAATTTGGAATCTGTACAAGTCAAAACAATATCGATGCTTACAATTCTATCCGTGGGGCATATTTATGTTCATACAAAAATAAAAAAAATAAAATTTAATTTATTTCCTGTTACAATTCGCCCAGCGAAGCGGGCAGGAACGGCTAGTTCACATATAAATATATTCAGCAACAGATTTGCCTGTAAATTAACGTCAAATTGACTGCAACTACTGATGAACAATTTTTTTTTGAGAAAGCCTATAGGCTATAGCAATCGGGGTATATTATTTCCAGATCTTACATAGGATTTTCATATTAAAGGATATTAGTCATCAGATGGATCAAGACGATATAAATGTTGAACCATAATTTACACTGGAATACTTCTTTACTTCAATGAAGTAGAAGTAAAAATTGTGTTTATTAATTAACAAAGATTCATAGGAAGTATCGTAATGACTAATATAATTATGATAATGTTAATATAACAATTCGACGGGACAAAAACTGTACATTTGTCGCTGCAAGTAACGAAAATCATGATTTAAACGATAATAAATATCTATATTACTTCCCGTTCAATGATTGCTAATAATAACTTTCACATAATGAACTCAAGTTGTATTAATACGAACAAAAATAATAACGATAACAGAATAATATATAACTTAATTCATTGATTAAAAAAACATTTTTTAATTAATTTAAAAGTATTTAGAACTAATTTTGTTGAAAAAATTTTCTTGTGAAGTAAATAGTTTCTCAAATATTTATCAAACAATTTTAAAGAT